AAACAAAAACCACTGTGCCTGTCTAGTCATTTGCAGCATGTACGCTAGATGCTTAAGCTCTTTCCCTTTTTTGTACCGGTGGAGAGAAGAACTGCATGGTGTATAAATCGCATGCTGCTGAAATGTTAGCTTCCGATGCAGCTTGAAGATTTTGTCTCCTGAGCATCTAGGAAATGTGAAACATCATTTCACGCAAACAATTGGCTAAAACTATGCAACGACCGGCTGAGCTCTCCGTGTTCAAGGGAAAGGATGCAAGAAATGGGGGTGCTTGTCTTCGGAAACAGAAATCTTTAACCAATCTTACTCTTCTGAGTGAGAGTGAAAAGGGGAAGCATTCCTACAGAGAAAACTGGTTTGGAAATGCCTCCAGGTCCAGCCAGGTTCCTCATGCGAGGGAGAGAGAATCTGGAAGCAGAGGATTGCTTAGTAAGGCACTATCAAAATCAGCACACTCCCTTTACTATGCCAGCAACAAGTCCACCTGTGAAATGGAAGAGCTCCCACCTGTTGGAAGCAGAAAACCTAGCAAAAGGCTCAAAGGCTACCCAACAGAAGAATCTGGCCCAGGAGAAAGGAGCAAATTGGCTGGTGCAAATGTGCCCTTTAAGCCAAATTTCACTACCCAGAACTGGGTGGAAGAAGGAGAAGGTTGCTTACGTGAAGGAACTGCCCAGCTGGATGAGGATGTTATAATAACAATGCTTGGAGACTTAGAACAAGCCCTTTACACTGATTTTTTAGGTAAGTTAACTTTTGCTTGACATGGGCAGATAACCACTAGCACTTCTGTCTAGATAAGAATTTGTTGACATTAATATTGAGAGACACAATTGGGTTTGTGCTCAGTGTAATAGGGAAGAGCTTTTTCATATTTTTTCATTTAGATTTAGAGATTGCATTCATGGATTATTATCTGCATCAATGTTTCATCAAACAACAAAAAATGGCAAGCTGTTAATTTTTCTTCATCCTTACATTGAATTTCTTTCTAAAAAAAATATATGTAGGAGTGCCATGTAGCCATATGCATTTTCCTTAGGTTGGGGAGAATTGCATGATGGTGTCTCTGTTCCTTCTCCCACCTGTAAGGCCCTTACTCATAGCCATGTATTTGCGTAGGTTTTGGAAATTTATTCACAACTATGCTATTTCTGTGCTAATAACTTTCCACTTCATTAGTATAAACTTGTGCAACCTGCAGACTTAATAAGGTTTGATTTATTTAGGCAATACTATGCCCTACTTTCTGCTCTAGCTTCATAATACTCCCTGCAGAAATCTCATCCATAAATACATACTTTGAGTGGAATTGAGAGTGCCAAGGCTTCACATACCAGCTACATCAGTGCAAGCAAGTAGGCACCCGATAATCCACAGCCAAAGGTGCTTCAAAGGATTTATCTGCAGCTGGTTGCACTTTTCATCTCCCTTCACTCAGAAGCGTGGGCTGCTCAAAGTGTTGAATTCAGAGGTTTTATATAATTAATTTTTTGTAATTCTGTGCCTGCCTGGCCAAGTCTCACTCACATTTTGTATTTTGCAGATTTCCCAGTAGTATACATTGATGCACTGATTGGAGCTAAAATTATATGTAGGGTATGGTTTATGTGGAACTGGAATACACTTATGGACCAGAGATTATAGACTCTGTAAATCAGAACATCTGTGTTTGTTTGGATGTACCACTGATGTGTTCTATGACTTGGAGGAAATTCTTTTTTTTTTTTTTACTTTTGTCAGGCAGCACATTTCTCTAATAATGATAGTTGGGGAATGGGCATATTTTCATAGAGATAACCGGTGTTGTGATGAAAAGCAATGAGTAAGTAACACAATGTGTGGTGACTATTCACAAAGGAAATATTTTATATCACAGCAATATTAAGGTAAGGTAGCAATGAAACAGTGGTTATCCATTGAGAAAATCGTGCAAATAATACTTCTCCTTTGTATGCTGCCTTTGTCCCCAAAATGGATCTTAAGTCGACTTGAGATAAACGATACTTTAACAACTGCATAGGCCCCGGTTTTCTCATCTGAAAATAAATAATTAATTTTTCATCATGCAATTATTATTATTATTATTATTTGTTTATTTAATCCTTTTCTCTCCATAAGGATTAATACACATACAAAAGAAATATGATTACTTATATATAAATATTTTAAAAAGAAATTTTTTTAGTAGTATCTAAATTCATGTTGGTCCTAATTAATATGCACACTGAATTAATGGTGAGTATATTTAGATGTCGTCTTAGCTGGAACTTCGAATTAGATTTAGGCCTATATGTACATCATATATAAGGTCAATATGTATATCCTCTTAACTGATGGAAAGTTTTGACAGATTTCTGTTGTGTGATCTTATTGTAATGTAAGTTTAACTTTACCACACATGATAGGAGGATAGATGAGGCATGATAAATGAAGAGGTAGGTTGTGCATGGATCATCAAGCATAGTACAAGATTAGGTGAGTCAGAGGTGGGCTAATCGTTGATTAATGAGGCCTTCTTGGCTCAAAATAACGAATTAGAGAGCTCAGGAAATGTATCAGTGAGAGGCAGAATGTGTGCCAGCTGCTAGTATTTTTAAGATAAGGAATCATGTTGCAACCCTGAAAAATCTTGCCAAGCTAACCAGGAATTCACATGCCTGCTGCTCTTGAGGATTTATATAAATCTGGAGAGGGACAGAGGTTTGAGAGCAGTATTGACCTTCCAGTTGATCTCATATGTGGTTCTTCTTGGTCTTTCAAGATCCATCTCACATGCCTGCTATTCTATTGGTGATGTGCCTGAATGCCAGGCTTGTCCACAATAAAACAACCATAATCCATGATTTAGCTTTATATAAATTGTTCAATTCATAAAGAGAGCTGGGTGGATGTGCTTGTTGGAATAGGCCTGTACCAGTTTTATCTACCTGGGTATTCAGTGCAGCACTGATCTAGATTGAAGGGGCAGAATATCACACACCCTGCTGGCCAGACCAGGTTGAGGTGAACTCAGGGGTGATACTTGAGAACTGCAGGACTTAGTTTTGCTGCTGGGTGGATGGAGGATGATTTTATAGGATGGGTGGGGGAGGTTCAAAGCCTGTGCTATTGGAAGGTCCACTCACCCAGAGATTAATGGAACCTGAAGTATTCCTGAATGCTATAAGAGATTTTTTCACTGACAGGGTTTGCAATTCAGTAGAACACCTAATATCACTTTGACATTGTGAGATAGAAAGAGACAGTTTTTCCTAAGCACTTGACCCAGCTCTGTGGAGACCAAAATTCACTCTCATTTACCAATAAGCTGTGAATAATGAATAGGATGGACAATGGCTAGAATGCTTATGTAATAGATCTCGAGTGAGTGTGATGAAAAATGAGCAAAAAGACTTCACTGTATTTGCTATACAGCAGTGCAGCTGACAAAAAAATCATGCTTCAATTATTTAATTCTTAGCATGTCACTCAGAGAAACTATTTCAAATAGAGATTCCTAGAATCCAAGAACTTGAAGATGGTAGTGTATGCCCTGGTAACCTCAAGTTTGGACTTGTGCAATGTGCTTTACATTGAGCTACCTCTGTACCAAGTTCAGAAACTCCAATTAGTTCAAAACACAGCAGCCAGATTGGTCACAGGAACATCCAGGAATGAACATATTACATCTATATTAAAGTCACTCCACTGGTAGCAAATTAGTTTCTGGGCAAAGTACAACATGTTGGTTTTGACTTTAAAGACCTACATGGTTTGTGTCCAGGCTACCTACAGGATCTCCTTCTTCTGTACAATCCAACCCACACACTTAGGTCCTCTGGGGGGCATCTACTCCAGCCTGCCAGAGCCCAACTGTCACCTAGAGGAAGTTTTCATTAGCTGCCCCAAGACTGTGGAATGACCTGCTGGAAGAGATTAGACAGCTAAATCAGCTGTCAGAATTTAAGACACAATTGAAGACTCATCTCTTCTAGCAGGAACATTCAGTTTTAAGTTATGCATTTTAATCTGCATTTTATCAGTGGATTTTAACTTGAATTTTAACTCTGTGTATCATCTTGTATGTATTTTAATAGTGAATTTTTTAAAAAAATCTTGTTTAAAAGATGTTGTATCACTCCTCAAGCTGCAGGGAGAGGTGGGGATTATTATTATTATTATTATTATTATTATTATTATTATTATTATTATATTTTGGGATCAGGCTCAGAAAGACCAAGAGTGAACCCCTTGATCGGTGCTGTGAATAATTTATTTTATTTTATCATGTTGTGTCTTAATTTATTTTATGAGACTGCCTTGCTCTTGGAGCAGGACCCAAGGCAACATCCAAATGAGTGAATCAATTTGTCCTACAGCATATAAACATGCTCTATTCCCCTTTTGGCTGGTAGAATCTAGTCAATATGGTCTAGGATATTGGAATTGCTTCACTCTGTCGGAGAGACGTGTCTTCTAACTTGAAGCAGACTGTAGGGAACTCTCTTCTGAAGAGGACCTCCCTTGACCAAGACATATATGGCAGCTGTCCTATCAGTGATATCCTTCTTTTTGGTAAGATGTTTGAGATTGTTGTGTAAGGCAACTTCAGGAAGAAATGGGTATTTACACTCACTTTGGTCTTCTTTCAAGCCAGTTATTTTCACCAGTGGGGCCAATATGGTGTGAAAAGATAGGGCTGTGGCATCCCAAATGTGGATACCTGATTGATGCTAACACTGGTCTCATTTCAATTCCACTATATGCTGACTTGACATCTCAGGATGTAGGCTAGGATATAAATACAAATGTGTATGAGATAGAAGAATATCATGAATGTAGGAAATAGTGACCTTTTAAAGCACCAATAATGCCTACCCACTCTACCACTCTAGTGTGATGGATGCTGACAACACTGGTATAAACTAGGGTTCACATGCACACAAACACACATGCAAGCATAGAAAAATAAAATGTGCAAAATAATATTTGTTTTATCTCTATATACATTTTTTCAGGGGAAGATCCCGAAACAAGACGTATGAGAACTGTCAAGAATATAGCAGATCTGAGGCAAAACTTGGAAGAAACTATGTCCAGCCTTAGAGGAACTCAGATAAGCCACAGGTAACATTCACTACAGAATGAGCTTATACGTGATGCTGTTATTTGCCTTCTCTGAGATAAATTTTCTACTTCCCTGGCCCTCAGTAAGACCTTAATTGAAGTGATGTGGTTCAGGAAATAATGAGACATGGATGTCTAAAATACAACATAAACAAACCCAAATTGTGCCAACAATTCAATTTACCCCAAATATTGCTAATGCTTAAAAGGCTTATATTTGTTGGACTTTATGTGCATATGTTCTGTTCAAATGAACCATCAGTTACAGGTAGGCAGGAGAAAGAGATTTGTGTATGGGATGGACAGGGATAGTTTTGCCCAGTTCAACCTGTGATATAACTTCCCAAATGATAGCCACCAACACATAGAAGTTAAAAACACATAAAGAGTTTGGTTGTGGCATGGAATGTGTGCATCTATCAAGTCTATTCCCATTTACTTCCTCCTTTTACCACCTTGAATTCTGTTCTGTGCTTTTTCCTTGAGGTTTTTTCTCAAATGGAAAAGAAGGGACTCTCCACACCAGTGAAGTTGGTGGGGGGAGCAATTTGCCTCTCCCCACGAATGAAGAGAATGGATGGTTCCAGTGGAGCCATCTGGAAAAGGGGGCGGGGGTTGGCTGACTGTTGCAGCCGGCCTCCTCCCTCATTCTGCTGTGAGATTTCAACCCACCACGCCCACCCACTGACAGTATAATTATTTGGTTGCCATCTGGAACCGGGTAGGATTTTTTTGCCCCCTATGTTCTGGGGGAGTTTTTCGCCTACCCTATACTGTTATTAGGGGCTAGCTGGGATGGTGTGTTTTAATTAGGTTAGCATAAATAGCATAGGAAAACACAGATATTGATGTATACACAAGGCACCCTTTAAGGGTGGGGGTCATTACACAAACCTAGAGGTCATCAAATGGATGAGGGGACATAACATGGCACAGAAACGGGAGAGTCTGAGATCAATAATTTGATACAGGCTTCTCCAGACCTTTACCTTAGAGGTTGCCCAGTTTGGGCTCCAGGGGACACAGATATTACACACTGAATAGCCAAGGACGCTGCCTCGGTTTGGACACCAAGTTCCTAGACACATAGTTTAATTCAGTTAAAGTTAAATAGGTAACATTTAATAAAGTTGCCCAAATTTGAATCCAAACTATTGTTGTCCAGTCTCGTTATTTCAGGGGTTAAGGGGCAAATACCAAATTTTAATTTGCGTATTTAAACAACTTGTGAATTTTGTGCAGTTTTCAGATTGTATTGTTTACATGAACGTCTAATAACTAAAGCAGAAGCAGGAAATATGAGGCCTGGGGCCAAATTCAACCGTTTTGGTGTCCCATATCCTCCTATATTACACAGATGAAAACTGTGACATATGAAGACAAACTTCATCCAACGGTGGACAGGATAATGAGGAAGAATATGCTGCCTTGGAGCCTGGTAGATTTTAAACAGAGGCTCGTTGGCCATCTGTCAGGAATGCTTTGACTGTACGTTCCTGCCAGGCAGGGGGCTTAACTGAATGACCCTTGTGGGAACTGATAAAGAGAGAAGGAGACAGCAGGAAAAGAGTAGCCTTGATGGGGATGAAGCTTAGTAGGGATGAGATGGGATCAGGAAATTGGAGTAGGCAGGCAGATCAATAAAGAAGGGGAATGTAAGCTTGGAACATAGAGAGTCCACTGTTTGGGGTGCTTTGAATGCAGTGTGAAAGCAGATAGAGGTATTTGTTGTTTCATGTTTGACCCTTCTGTCAAGCAAGGCTAGAAAAGCAGTCCCGAAGTCCAATATACAATAGACCTTGAGTTATTGATTTCTGATATCTATTTCATTCATTCCTGTGCTTTCTCCTTCCTCTTTCTCAAAATATTGTACAAAATGAAAGAGTTATGGCTGGCAGTAAACCTATAACTGTATAGTTGTTATTCACAATGTTGTGGAATTCCAAATAAAACTGTGTGGTTTCTTGAAAATGTACCATTTTAAAACATACGGTAAATTTTCAGTCTTTAGCAAGAAAAAGAATTCTGAATTTTTCAACACTACAGGAAGACATATTAGACCTGTTCCTCAACATTGCGTTTCCATCATCTATATATATATAAATGCTCTGTGCATGATGAGTACCTTAAAAACAAAAGAACCAATGAACGAAATCATACCAAATTTGGCAACAAAACATCTCACAACACAAGGAGTGACCATCACTCAAAAATTATGATTTTGTCATTTGGGAGTTGTAGTTGCTGGGATTTATAGTTCACCTACAATCAAAGAGCATTCTGAACTCCATCAATGATGGAATTGAACCACACTTGGATCTGGAACAAACTTGGCACAAGCACTCAATATGCCCAAATATGAACACAGATGGAGTTTGGGGGAAATAGACCTTGACATTTGGGAGTTGTAGTCACTGGGATTCACAGTTCTCCTACAATCAAAGAGCATTCTGAACCCCATGAACGACAGAATCGTGGCAAACTTCCCACACAGACCAACAGAAAATACTTAAGGCCATCCAATCCAACTCCCTTCATCAGGGCAAGAAAACATAATCAAAGCCCTCCTGACAAAGAGCCATCCAGCCATAGATACAGATAGATAGATAGATAGATAGATAGATAGATAGATAGATAGATAGATGATAGATAGATAGATAGATAGATAGATAGATAGATAGATAGATAGATAGATCGATAGATAGGGAGTTGTAGTTGCTGAGATTTATAGTTCACCTACAATTAAATAGCATGATAGAATTGAACCAACCGGGGCATACAGGACTCCCGTGACCAACAGAAAATACTAGAAGGGTTTGGTGAGCATTGACCTTGAGTTTGGGAGTTGTAGTTCACCTGCATCCAGAGACTACCATGGACTCAAACAATGATGGATCTGGACCAAACTTGGCATGAATATTCCATATGCTCAAATATGAACACAGATGGAGTTTGGGGGAAATTGACATTTGGGAGTTGTAGTTACTGGGATTTATAGTTCACCTACAATCAAAAAGCGTTCTCAACCCCATCAATGACAGAACTGGGCCAAACTTCCCACACAGAACCCCCATGACCAACAGAAAATACTCAAGGCCATCCAGTCCAACTCCCTTCATCAGGGCAAGAAAACGTAATCAAAGCCCTCCTGACAAACAGCCATCCAGCCATAGATATAGATATATATGATTCACACAAACACAGATATAGTATCATAGATTTGAAAGGGACCCCTGAAGAAGCACAATTATATGTTGCATGTTCCAGAGTAGGCAAACCAGACACTCTCCACATCAACACTGTCAAAGAAACAGCAAGAAATACTGTTTACCCAGAAGCATAAGGAAATTACATATATTAGAAACCAACACTTTCTCATTACTTTATTTTCCAGATCAACAGACTGGGCCACAGCAACGCGTGGCAGGGGACAGCTAGTATCCCTATAAAATTGGAACAATTGTGAAGTAGGAGGTTCTAATCCAACCTTTCCACAGATCTAAATCAATCTCTATCATTTATTGGTTTCTCAAGTTTGTATGATCCTCCTACCCCATTCTATGAAGCTGAAATCTCTCTCTTACTAGCAAAGACAGCTTTCAGCTAAAATATGCGGATGTTTTGCTCTCACCCTTTGACACCCTTTGTATTTTGGCCCTCAGGCTAAAAGGGAGAGCCATCCTTGGATTAAGCATATTTGTATTCATTAACTTTATTTGACATGTTTATTAAATCTTAAAATGTCCAGAAAGGTGTTTCTGGCCCATATCTGTTTCTGGGTGGTAGAAATCACACACACACACACACACACACACACACACACACAGAGAGAGAGAGAGATGACTTTGAGTGTGTGTGTACATCTCAGCAACAGACTAGATTTGTTACACATCCAAAGTTATAACTGTTTACGTCTTTAGTTTAGAATTTATTATGTAAAAAAATCTTCAAATTAAGCACTTATATTTTTTTCTTCACACAATGCACATCTTTTCATTTAGTAACCCATATCCATTAAGATGAAAGCATTTTCAGATAGGGAGCAGTGGAAGGGGCTTGGTATCATTATTATACTTTTATCGATTATTGTTCAACACTGAAGAAAAGTAGCTGCTTACATCATAGACAATTTTTCATAAGCTTGCTTGTTTCTATGTGCTACTTTATTCTGTCCCCCACCGTCATACACAGAAGTCTCAAAAGCACAGTTCACTGATTTCTGTTTTGCTTCACAGCACACTGGAGACAACCTTTGACAGTACTGTGACAACCGAAGTCAATGGGCGAAGCATTCCAGCCTTGACAAGTCGATCTTCTCCAATGACTTGGAGACTTGGACAATCTAGTCCTCGTCTCCAGGCCGGTGATGCTCCTTCCCTGGGTGCTGGGTACCCGCGCAGTGGTGCTAGTCGCTTCATCCACACTGACCCTTCTCGATTCATGTACACAACACCTCTTCGCCGTGCAGCTGTTTCTCGCCTTGGGAACATACCCCAGATTGACATGAGTGAAAAAGGAACTAGTGATCTTGACATTTCCTCAGATGTTGACGTTGGAGGGTATATGAGTGATGGGGATATTCTTGGGAAAAGCCTTCGAGCTGATGACATCAACAGTGGGTAAGTTTCTATTTCTTCATCTTAGACCCAAGTATAGTCCAAGCTACAGTTAAATATACAAATATACCTCAGTTACAAAACAAATGCATTCCTGGACATTACTTTTTTTAACCAGAGACAGAAATAATGGAAATAATGGGGTCATAGCTTCTTATGAGACAAAAGGATAATTCAATATATGTCATCAGATTTTCTTTTGTTCCGAATTAAAGATGTGCTCATGTGAAATTAAACAATTGGGTCACATAAACGTTCCCTCAATTAATAGAAACACAGAGTTTGTTTCCAAAAGGTACTAAATCCAAAATAATAATAATAATGAAAAATGAGTTATAGGTGGCAGAACATTGTTGGCTAGGAGTAGAATATTTTGATCTGATCTAAACTATCAAAATGTATCAAATCACTTTGGTACAGATTTTGTAAAAATGCATTTTATAGCAAAAGAATGTGCTTCCTTTGCACATTTGGAAATATAGTCCATATTTGGAATCTTCTAGAGATGACTTCAAATTTTCCTCCAAATGCACCTTAGGATGTTTTTTTTCTGTATAGTGCTCTCTGCAGTAATAAGACTCATTGTTCCCTCTTTGTTGAATTTAGATGGGCCCTTAATTATTTTATTCTTGTATCCTTAGGATGCTGTGATTATAATATTCCTTAATTTTTTTGGAAGGTCATCTTATCTGAAATGGTATTTGGTTGCAGTTGTGCAGCAGTATTAGTCTAAATTTGTATAGTATATTAAGTTCAAATTTCTATTTTATCTTGCAGTGGCCTAAGTGCTAGCTTTTGGCAGAAATGCCAGGTGTAAGATTAATAATTGATCATGATGCAATGTTTTTGTCCTTTGCCTTGGGCAGAGAACACATTATAACTGGAAATATCTGGAAATACACCAAGCTATGATTTAATCCTTGTTCATATATTTCTTGGGGTAAGATTTGGGTCAAGTATTGCGATCTAATCAGCACCTGAACTTTTCCTGCTAATTCTTTAACAGACATCAAGGGTTTGGTGGGCTACTGCACCTCTCTGAGGAACAGAGTTTGGATTTGTGGATCATAGGTTGTCCAGAACTGATTCTAATCCACCTTACTTTTTAATTTGATGCTTTTAAAAATGTTGCTAAGAATTATTATTACTATTTGACAATAGTAGATATACATCAAATGGGATAAAAAAATCCCTTTACAGTTTTTAAAATGCTTAGATACCTTCCTCTGAAAAAAGACTTAAAACATCTTACAAAAATAAAAATATACAGAAATTAAAGAGAAAAAAATAATACAAAATACAAAACACAAATACCCCCCATAAATGAGTTACAAATTATAAGAGCAGTCAATTGGCACTATGCCATTAAAAGAAATCAGCCAATTGCATCATATCTAATGCCTGGATGTAGAGAAATATCTAATCTGTTGCTATAATGATAACCAAGGGTTGACCCATACTACATGTGTGAAATGCAAGGCCTGTGGGCTGAATCTGGCCCGCCTTGTTATTTTATGTTGTCTGTGACACTTTCAGTACCAGAGCAACATAGTTACATTTATACAGTCTTACCATTACAGCCAGCCCTTTGAAGGCAACCATAAGGCTAATGTGGCCCTTGATGAAAATGAGTTTTGACACTCCTGATCTACACTTAAGAATGAATAAAGTTGTAGTTTTACAAAGTTTAACCTCCTTTGTCCATGGACCTCAATTCACTTATGAGCCTCTTCCGTCTTTCACCTACAATAATCTGCGAAATGGAAGGTGTGCATGGTGACTCACTACAGGCAGCATGCTCACCCTCCTTCCCCATCACATGGCAGAATTGTAGCTAGGAGTGTTGCCGCATTGGTGCTTTCCCTATCAGACAGAGGAAAGTATCAATACAACATAAAAATGCATGCAAGATTGTCAGAGCTAGCCAAAAGATGGAAGGCTTACTGTGGTGGTGAGGAAGCCTCTTTGCTACATTTCTCACTGCTTCAACAACAGATGGGATGGAGCCACATCCCCGATCATCTGATGCAATATGTATCAAACTGTGGCTAAAGAGGTGCCCAGCGCAGTAAGGGGCAAAAACCCTCTGTTGATGAGGTGGCAAGACTGTTGGTATCTCACTAAACCATGGCAATTAATTCTAAACTGTAAGTGGTGTCAATTTGCACTAATTCTACAGTTTAGAGGCACCTGGTGTCTGGATTTGATAGGCTTTAGAAGGAGGAGCATTCCACAGATTGGAGTGGGGGAGTAGGCAGGGAAACAAGACCCCCTTCTCTTTTGCTGCTATTCCAAAGCTCTGCCTCAGAAGTATCAGGTATAGGAAGTCTCATAATGGGAGAGGTGTTTCATCAAAGTTTTGGGGTCCCAAGCTTTTAATTATATGCATGAATGTTTTACTGCTGCTTTTCTCAGATAGCAATCAACTGAATAGCTAGTTTTGCTGTAGTTTTGTTGTAATTGTGCATATTATAGCTGAGGACATGAATATTGATAGGAAGATATCACTTGTTATTTTTATTTAATAGGCACTATTTTTCGTTGTGTTTTCTTTCTATATGTCAGAAGATATTTGCAATTTGATGGTGAAATTGTTGCGTTTAAGCACAAAAAATGTCTCTGAAGTGTCTGAATAGGAACATAGGCATCTTTAAAATGATTGCCTAGCAAAGTTATTCATAAGTTTTATAGATTAATCTCTGATACAGATTTATTTATTGGAAAAAATAAATCACCAGTCTTTTTCTCTCTTACTGAGATTTTTTTGTATTGATTCCTCTATTGTGATTTCTTACATAAATGTCCTAAGAATTCTTCCAGGGGATATAATGAAATGGTCCCAGACATTATCTCTGTTTGTAAGATTATACTTCATTTCTAAATAGTGCTTTAACTCCTTTCCCTGTTCTTATTGCAAAAATATGTGAGATGAAAGAGTTTATTTAGTCTTTGAAACATTTGTATCCCACTGTATCAGGAGATTTCAGGGAGGGAGAGCAATGAGGACAAATTATAAAATGGATCATAGCAATGACAGAATGACAGAAAACAGGAGACAAAAATATTCAGCCTAACTGATGTGAGACAAGCTGTGGATGTTGGTCCCCAAAAGCTTTAATGAAGACACATTGAAGTGCAATGCAGTGTCCTATGAGAGGTCACCTCATAATACTGTCACCCTAATAGAGAAGGTCCTTTCCTGTGTCTCCTCACAATGCAGTGCACCTCCAGTGATTTATAGGAGAAACATATTTTGTCAGCAGATACACACACACGGGGGGGGGGGATATTCCTCAAGATACAGAGGTCCCATGATAATTAGGGCTTTAAATGTTAATGCCAGTCTGAATTTCTTTTTTCCATGTTCAACATAATGTCTACTGAAATATAGATTTACTTATATAAAGATGTTTCTCTTCAGAGCTTATAGTCATCACATAGACACTTTCAGTGGGGCTAGGTTATATTTTTCATAGTTTGCAAGCACCAGTCCCAGATGTTTTGCTGCATTTTAAAATAATCACACATAGTATAAAATCAGTACAATGATATTCAGCCAATAATTCAAAAATATTACTATTAAACAGCCTCACACATTTACTTGAAAGATCAAGAAAATAGTGCTCTAGAAGACAATATTTAGACCTGATCCTTAAGTAATTCTAATTCAAATTGTTTCATACAACAAAGAGGATGGATAAGTGAAACATTCATACCTGTTTCATTTCCCTACGTATCTAATAGATCTTTGTGCTGTGTGTGTCTTCCCCTTTCCCTCTCCCCCTCTCCCTCTGAGAGTTTATATCTTGAAAGCGTAGGGGAAGATATAGGTTAAAAACTATATTTGATCTCAATGGTGAATCTTTTGTATCATATCAAACTTGGTATTAGGAGCTTGAAATCAAAGTTGGGCATCAAAACCAATTCTTTTTTAAGTTACCATGCTGAGTTACTTGAGTTGTCATACTGAGTTTCAACAAAGAAGAGTCAAGGAACCAAAAGGGACTGTTTCATAGGTTGTGCTTTTTGTGGCGAATGCAACAAGTTAAAAGGAACTTGAACACTGTGTAGAAATCAAAGGAAAGAACTGATGGCTGACATGGACATAGAAATGAACCTTTACATTCATTTCTGATTATACCAAATTCAGGAATTAGTAGTGCTGAAAGGGAAGGACAGTATAGATATTCTTTAAATAGTCATTTTGCTGTGTCTGTGTGATCAGGTTCAATAATACAGAATGTCATCTGCAATATTTGGGCAAAACAACAACAGATCAGAATACACAACTCAGGAATCCTGAGTGTACAATCCTGATCTATCAGTGGCCAGACATTTTAACTTGAAACATTACAACCTCTTTGATTTGTCCTTTTTTGTATTGAAGTGCATCTCCTTGAGGCATTTTGGTCAAACAGGAAAATGTCTGGCTTTATAAACTTAAAGCCATATTACCACATGTCCTAGAACAGTGATTCCCGTCCTTTGATGCTTTAGTTGTTTGGAATTTCAACTCTCAGAAGCTACAGCCAGCTTGGCCAAGTTTCAGGAATTCTGGGAGCTAAGGTTCAAAACACCTGGAAGATCAAATGATGGGAACTTCTAACTTGAATGATAATATGTTCATCCGTTTAAAATTGTTGAAAGCAGAGTGTTCTTAGATGTAGATCAGTTTTATCTTTAGCAAATGAAGATGGCATAAGGTGTGAGAAAAAGAGATTCTGGAATCAAATTTGGCTGAATTACTGTTGGTTTATTTTTAAATCTCAAATAGATAGATAGATGTCAACTTACAGACAGACAGACAGATGTCGACTTTATAGATAGGTGTCTGTTCATTCAGAGGTGGCTTTGCCACTCCCTTCCTCTGAAGCATAGCCTATAGCACCTGGCATTTATTGGTAGTTTCCTACCCAAGAACTAGCCAGGGCTGATTCTGGTTAGCTTCCAATATCGAACAAGTTCTCGTACTTTTAAGGTATTTATGTAGGTCAGTAGATCAA